ACTACCCATATCGGTCGCAGCAGTGGTGATGACCTTTGTCCTTCCGTGACCTGATCGAGGATGGTTTGGTGGCTTTTGGGTTTAGGGTTTAGGGTTTAGGGGTTAGGGGTTAGGGGTTTAGGGTTTGGTTAGTAGCAAGCAGCCTTGTCGACGAAGGGTTCAGTTCTCTTACCCTATATTATGAAGTACGCTGCTATACTTGTACCTAAATTGTCAATAGCAAACTAGCTGTACGTTTTTTTTCGCCCCCCCCCAAAAAAAATACAATCATCAATTTCTTGCATCACTAACGAATGCCAGTCATCTTTTTGTGCTGAAGTTATGTACACGTGGTGTGGTGGGGGACTGGCATTCTGAGAGGTGTCACACATGTCCGGCTCTCCCCAAACCCCAAGCCCTTAGAATAGAGTTCTAAATTTAGGGTTTAGGGTTCTAAATGATTACCAATAGTCTTCCTTAGGGTTCCTGAGTATAAATATAGTATACTATACCCCAAAACCCTATTCTAGTTATTAAGGCACCTAAACCCAAAACCCTTAGAGTAGCCCTTATAGAACCCTTTAAAGAAACCTTAAAGGAACCCTTTTCTAATTATCAAGGCCCCTCTATGAACCACAAAGCCCTCAAAGCCCTCAACACCCTAAAAGCCCTGAAAGTCCTAAAAGCCCTAAAAAGCCCTGAAAGCCCTAAAACCGCTAGAACCCTCAAACCCCTAAGCCCAAAACGGGCCCTTAACCATAAACCCGCAACGGTTCCCAAAGCTTCAAGCAGCCTCTCACGGCCTAAACCCTAAACCCTAAACCCTAAACCGTATCAGATCGACTCGAACGGCTTGGAGTTGCTGGCCGTGGCCGCTTTTCCTGGCAATGACAGAGCGGGCCCATCGTTTTGCGTTGGTTCCCTGAGTTGTTTAGGGTTTATAGGGTTTATAGTAGAGTTTATAGGGTTTAGGGTTTAGGGCCTAGGGTTTAGCGTTTATAGGGTTTTGGGTTTAGGGTTAGTCATGAGCGTTCTGATGGGTTCGATCCGATGTTTAGGGGCTTGCTGTAGGGCTGGCGGATCGGGGATCGGGGATTGGGGTTTTAATCGTAAAGGTTTTCCTCAACATTTGAAGCTGCGCGGGCGGGTTTGAAACCCAAGTCTTGAGGTCTGCGTCTGGTTCTCTTAGTCTCCATATGGGTAGTTCTCTAAGTTAGGGTCCCTGTTTAATTAGGCCCAACATGGTACGGCACCCTCATAAATACTCATAACAAGGACCCTATAAGGCACCCTAATTTAGAGAATTTTCCATCTGTCTTATGAGAAGAACTACTAAGCCTCTTGCCGATGAAGCCGAAAAGCCTTGCTGCTTTGCTAGGCCTGGATCTTTGCAAAAGCTGTGGATGCAAGCCCGAAGTTGACTTGGTTGTGGTTTTGTGCTCAGCGCTTTATGTCTCTGCTTAGCGCCCTAAACCCTAAAACCCTAAACTCCAAGCCCTCAGCCCTAAACCCTTAACTCTAAGCCCTCAGCCCTAAACCCTAAACTCCAAGCCCTCAGCCCTAAAGCCTGAACCCCTAAACTCTTAATTCAGAGACCAAGCCCGGAACTTAAGATAGGGGCCTTAATAATTAGAGTAGGGTTTTGGGGCCCGTGATACCATAATTAGAATAATAAGGAGCCCCCAAGATAGTATAGGTAATTCCCTAAGCCCTAAACCCTGAAAAATCATTAGGCCCCTAGGGCCCAAGATCCTGCGTGGAGAAGCCGAGGATGACATGGACAACCAGCTCCTGTGGACGCCACACGGATGCAAGCAGAAGGAAGCTTCGAAAATCTGGGGGTTTAGGGTTTAGGGTCTTGGGGTTTTAGGGTTTATTTGGTTTTAGGGTTTATAGGGTTAAGGGTTTGGGGTTTCAGGCTTCGGGTTTAGAGTTAATTCCCCCTTACTTCAGGAATAGACCTAATAATCATACCAGGGTTCCTATTCTAGTTTCAGGTATATCCCTTAACTAAGGGGTTTGGGAGTCTCTGGAAGCTTCTAGGCTCTGGGGGAGGGGTGGGGACTCATAGGATTACTTCCTACTATAGAAGCCTAAAGAATTACCAACATGATGCCTTAGGTTCCTTATGATATTTGCTTATACTACAAAGGATCCCAAAACACCATAAGCTAAAGCCTCCGGACAAAGTGTTCTTTCGGGTTGTAGGGTTCGGGTTCTTGAGTTGCGAGCTGTAAAGGCGACTCGGATACAGTCTGGCATGCTTGGCACTGCTACGGTCGAGCTTGTCTGTAGGGATGCAATTTTTCAGGGTTCGTGCGACCTCCACAATCAAGGAGCTGTAGTTCTCTCGACTTGCATTCCATCTCAGAGCCACAGCGGCAGGCCTTGTAAAGCCTTACGTAAACCCTTAAGCCCAAAGGCCTAAGCCCACAGTGCAAAACCCCACTCGGAGGTTCATGGGTAGTTAGAAATGTGGTTATAAGTAGGGTACCTCTGCTTATAACCCATGTTACGGCACTTATAACCCCACTTATTACAACCACCCACGAACCTCCAAGCAAGGGAAAGCTGAGTCCAACGCCCAAAACCCTTGGAACCCTCTAAACCCTAAACCCTAAACCCTAAACCCTCTAAACCCTAAACCCTAAACCCTAAACCCTAAACCCTAAACCCTAAATCGGAGGTTCGACTCCAAGAACGAGGTGTCAAACGCTGTCTTCCAGGCGATGAGGCTGGGTTCCGGCCAGAGCCCTGAAGCCCAGGGCAATAAGCCCCGAGTCCGAATGCCTTGTTCCTTTAGGGTTTAGGGTTTAAGCCGTGGGCTCTAAGTCCTGGGTCCGAATGCCTTGTTTCTTTAGGGTTTAGGGTTTAGGGATATTTTGCGGTTTTTGGGTTCCTTTAAGGTTTAGGGTTTAGGGGTATTTAGAGGTTTTTGGGGTTCGATATGGTTGAGGATGTGGGGATGTCAGGACTTGTAGGGTTTGGCTAGCATCATGTGCCAGATCCTCTGACTTTTGACCCACGCCGGTAGACCGGTGACCAGTTGGGGGTTCGACTACTTTAGGGTTTAGGGTTTAGGGGTTTAGGGTTAGGGGTTTAGGGTTTGGGGTTTGGGGTTTAGGGTTTGGGGTTTACGGTTCTCCCTTCGAGTTTGTGGGCTTGCGGTTCAGGCTTTCTTAGAGTAACCTACAACCTGCAGTCCAAGGAGGAGAAGAGCATCTTCGCCGAGGGAGGGACAGCCAATGATGTCAACCCCCAAAAAGACATGTAGCAACCCTAAATTCAGCCCTAAGCCCGAAACCCTGCAGCGAAGAACCCTGAAGCAAACACTAGACCCCCAAACCCCCAGCACACCAAACACGGCTTCAACCTAATGCAGGTATGGCAAGGTCACCGCAAAGACCTCTGGCGATGCATGGACGCCCAAGGTCCTCAAGGCCATGGGACGTTTTGTTTAGGATTATAGGGGTTTAGGGTTCAGTTTCAGGTTTACGGTGTCTATGGTTTGATGAACTTTCGAGTTTATAAGGTTCTGTCAGGATGTTTGAAGGGTTCCATACGCGCCTATGAGGGTTCCATAAGGGTTTCGGGGGCTATGTTGATTCGGCTCCAGGGCTTTTGGCAGAAAATAAAGGGTTTAGGGTTTAGGGTTTAGGGTTTAGGGTTTAGGGAAAGTTTGGTGAGAATCGCGGTTTGGCACATGAGGCTGCCTGTTCGTGCAGCCAGAGCCACGAACCAAGCCCACTTCTGTGCTTTGCTGGTTGCTAGCTTTGACAGGAGTTCGTTGATTTTTGACAGACGCGGATAGTTAATGCAGGGGCCTAAGTAATTTCCAATATTATTTTGGGGGGCTCCTTATTATAATGATAGTATAACATACCCCAAAAACCCTATTCTAATTGTTAAGGCCCCTTAACCCTAAGCCCGTATAGTAGCCCTTTAAGGAACTCTTTAAAGACCCCTTTAGAGGAACCCTACACCCTAAACCCTATTCCAAGTATTAAGGCCCCTAAACCCTTAAACCCTTACAGTAGCCCTTATAGAACCCTTTCAAGAACCCTTATATGAAGGAACCGTATTCTAATTATCAAGGCCCCTATATGAACCATAAAGCCCTCAAAGCCCTAAAAGCCCTAAAGGCCCCTAAACCCTAAACCTTAAACACTAAACCCTAAACCCTAAAACCCTAACCTTCAAAGGAACCCTATGCTAATTCTTAAGGCCCAGTTAAGGACAGAGCAACTCTGCTCTTCGGGTCTTGGCTTGGGCCAAAAGGCGGCTGGGGGTTTAGGGTTTAGGGTATATAGGGTTTAGGGTTTAGGGTTAGGGGTTTAGGGGTTTAGGGGTTTAGGGTTTAGGGTTTAGGGTTTAGGGGTTTAGGGGTTTCGGAGTTTAGGGTTTAGGGGTTTAGGGGTTTAGGGTTTAGGGTCTCCAATGCTGAAGCCGTTTCTAGGATTTGGAGTTTAGGGTCCTGGGGCCTTCAATGCTGTAGCTTGTCCAGGTCGACAGCTTTTTCTCTTCTTCTTTGGTTTAGGGTTTAGGGTTTAGGGTTTAGGGTTTAGGGTGTGGTTTGGTCCAACTTCCGGCAAAAAGCGTCCCTACTGTAGCTATAGTTTCCGTCGTAGCTCCTGTTTTGCTTACCTCCGTTTTCATGTAGGATCCTAACTCCTAACCATATTCCCTAAACCCTAAACCCTAAACCTGGCTGACCAAAAGCCTTGGACAGCCTCGGACTTCGAAAGCCCCCATGGAACTGCAGTAGGGTTGGTGTAGGGTTTAGGGTTTAGGGTTTAGCGCACTAGTGTCACTGCGTAAGGCAACCCGAAAGATACAGTCAAGAAGTAGCTCGAAGTCCTAGAAGATCAACCCTACCTATAGTCTCCATTGTAGTTCCTTTTTGGGGATACCTTACAAAATCCTGAATATATATGTGGTTAGACCAAAAAAGGAACTACAATGGAGACTATAGGTATAATTTGTATGTAGCTCCGAGCTGGTAGCACATGGCAGGGATCGATGACGACTCTCGCCCAGGACACCGTCATGCATCCCGGCGAGCATTTCTATAGGAGCCTAAATAACCAATACTATCTTGGGGGTTCCTTGTTATAGTTATAGTATATTATGCACAAAAGCCCTATTCTACTTATTAAGGCTTCCACATTACTCTTCAAGGCTCTTACAGTTGTTTTGCAGTAGAGCGCCTAGAACCCAGAGGCTCCAATATCCCTTAATTAAGGAATATACTTTAAATCATATTAGGGATCCTACTATAATTTAAGGTATATTCCTTAATTAAGGGATATTGGAGTCTCTGGGAAGTTTAGTCTGAGGCTTTTAACTCAGTCAAATCTCCGACGACTCAAGGTTGGAGGGTGTATGGAAGACCCTTCCACCGTCCCTATCGTGCCTACGTTTTGGAGGAACTCTGATGGAAGCTCGATGCAAATATAGGGGCCTGAAGATAGGGTTTTGGGGCCCATTATACTATATGTGTAATAAGGAGCCCCCCCAAAACAATATTCTAATTATTAAGGCCCCTAAACCCTAAACCCTTATAGTAGCCCATATAGAACCCTTTAAAGTTCCCTTAGAGGACCAGGCCCCTGCACTATGGCTCTGGCAGTTCCCCAGTTCGGGCTTGGGATGCAGCCTCGGCTGTTTCGACCGGTGCGACGGATGCTTTGGGCAAAAGAAGCCTCTCTCTACCGACCCAGAGAATCCAATACCCGTTAAGTAAGGAATATGGGAGTTTCTGAAAATGAGGGGTGCCTTATTTCGGGGTCCTTATAATAACGATCCTACTATTTGGGGTACTATATTAGGGTCCCCTTATTTTCGGAAGCCCCCATATACCTTAAATCATAATACTTGAAGGATCATGGGACTTAGTAAGTAGGGTTATAATTAGGGTAACTATACTTATAACCCCCAATTAAGGGACTTATACCCTTATTTACTAAGTCCCATGATCCTCCAAGCATGAAGGCTTCTATAATTGAAGGTCTAATCCTTAGTTAAGGGGTATTGGGTTCTCTGGGGAGCGCTTGCTGAGGAGCCCAGGCCTGTCTTTAAGTTCTTATTGGGTTTAGGGTTTTAGGGTTTTAGGGTTTAGGGTTTAGGGTTTAGGGTTTAGGGTTTAGGGTTTAGGGCTTTAGGGTTTTAGGGTTTTAGGGTCATTGGCAGACGACGTCTTGGCTTTCACAGCCGTTCTCGCTTAACATAGGGGCCTGAAGAAGTACCTACACTATTTTGGGGGTTCCTTGTTATAAATATAGCATAATATACCCCAAAGCCATATTCTAACCATGAAGGCCCCTACATTATTCGTGAGCTCCCTTGGACCCTAAACCCCAGGATGAGACAACGGTCAAAGTCAAAATCATTCACCCAGAGTCGAGGTACCGCGAGCAGGATGGAATTAAGTCTTTCCTTCTGGATGACGATGGATGCGATCCTTGGCCAGTTACAGCACGCAAGCTTAAGCAATCATCTTGCACTTTTCCAACAGACGGTTGATGATATACATCCTGCATATTACCCAGAATTAGGAATACACTATAATTCCCACAGAGGTGCAGTAGAAGTATGTAGTGGTAGTAGCAGTCGTCGTTGTCGCCGTAGTAGGAGTGGAAGTCCCAGTCGCAGTAGCAGCAGTTCGTCGTCATCATGGTGGTCTTAGCAGGACCAAAAGACTCCAGCAACGGCCGCCGCAGCATCAACCTCCGTGCCCTAGACTCCCAGGAAGGGGTGCAGGGTCTACTTGGAGGTTCATGGGTGGATATAAGTGGGGTTATAAGTCCCCTAATATGGGTTATAAGTATAGTTACCCTACTTATGACCTCATTTATAACGACCCACAAACCTCCAAGTAGGGAGGGCTTAAATCAGAACAGGAAGCTCATCACCCCCTGGTTTGAGTAGGGTTCATATCATGGGCTTTTACTCGGAAAAGTCGGGGGCCCTTACTGCCACAACCATTTTCCGTTTCCAAGCTTCGGCTTTTGTAGAATGCTGCAAGTCATCGCTGCACCCTGCAGCCCTAAACCGAGGATTGCCATTCGACACTCTCCATGGGCCACGCCATGTGCGCAAACAGCTGCGACGACACCTACGGCCACTGGACTCTTGTACGGTCTGCTTTCGGAGCAAAGGATCCGAGGGTACCGGTGGTGAATGCTTTAACGCTTGAGCTTCCGCAGATGGGTGTCGCGTTTGAGCTGTGGACCGGGCTGGAACCGCCGTACGCGAGTTTGTTCAGTTCGATCGGTAGAATTCTGGTTGTGCTGCTGCTGGTAGAAATGGGGGTTTCCAAAAATAGGGGACCCTAATATAGCACCCTAAATAGTAGTATCCTTATCATAAGGACCCCCAAATAAGGTACCCCTAATTTTCGGAAGCTCATCACTGGTTTGTGTGTTTCGAAAGCGATTGAGTTGGAAACCCTAAACCCTAAACCCTAAACCCTAAGGTCAAGTCCTCCACCTTCTAACCCCGCACCCTCGGCCCTTGCGCCCAAACCGCCGTCGACATTTTTCAGGTCATCAAGGCAGGGTTTAGGGTTTAGGGTTTAGGGTTTAGGGTTTAGGGCACGATGGAGAAATGAGGATGGTTCCGATTTCAGCGGTGCGTTCTCAAATTGAGGTCCCTCGCGAGGGGGCCCACCGACTCAAGCAACCCCGAACAAGTCCCAACCCCTGCAAGCCCTGAGCCCCAAGCTGCAATCTAAGGGCCTAAAGAATGACCTATACTATTTTGGGGGTTCCTGATTATACATATAGTATAATGGGCCCCAAAACAATCTAAGGGCCTAAAGAATGACCTATACTATTTTGGGGGTTCCTGATTATACATATAGTATATTGGGCCCCAAAACAATCTAAGGGCCTAAAGAATTACCTATACTATTATGGGGGTTCCTGATTATACATATAGTATATTGGGCCCCAACACCCTATTCTGATTATTAAGGCCCCTACATTAAGCCCGAACGCCTTCCGTAAGTTTGCCCTGTTACAGACTCTGGAAGCCCTAAACCCCAGGCCCCTAAACCCGTGAGCCCTGAATCCGAAGACGCCCCCCTTTCAAAAATCGCACCGAGGCAACTGCAAGATCAAGGGTGGCGTGGACAAGCTTTCGGCTCCTCGAGCAAGTTATTTTAAGGACTTAAGGGACGTTCAAAACCCGGTAATTAAGGAATATACTTTAAGTTGCTGTAAATCGCACGAGAGTGGGTTCCTACTATAGCTTAAGGTCTAGTCCTTTGTTAACGGGTTTTGGAGTCTCTGGGTACTTAAAGGATCATGGGACTTGGTAAGTAAGGTTATAAGTCCCTTACTTGGGGTTATAAGTAGAGTTACCTTAGTAAAAACTCTAAACCCTAAACCCTGAACCCTAAACCCTAAACCCTAAACCCTCCTTACTAAGTCCCATGATCCTTTAAGTACCCATAAACACGCATTACAAGCCCATGGCCTTGGCCCCGGGAGAGGTCCAAGACGCCCAGCCCGTTAGCGTCACGAAATGGCATCGCCACTGAGCGAACCGACGGTATAAGATACTCTATGGACCCTACAGGGCTTTGGGATATAGTGTATTATACTCCATTGTAGTTCCTTTTTCGGTTTAGCCAAATACATAATAAGGATTTTGCAAGGTATCCCCAAAAAGGAACCACAATCGAGACTATAGGTAGTGTATTATCATGAACCCGCAAAATAGTATTAGTAATTTCGAAGGCCCCTACAGTAGCCGCGAAAAGTTTCGCGAAGATCCCTTTGCCAGCTCCGCACTTAAAGGATCACGGGACTTAGTAAGTATGGTCATAAGTCCCTTCATTGGGGTTATAAGTAGAGTTACCTTAGTTACAACCCTACTTACTGAGTCCCATGATCCTTTAAGCAGCCATGCGCACCCAGTCGCGGAAGCCTGAAAAGCCCCAAAGCCGCAGCCCTCACGTGATGAACTACTTGGAGGTTCATTGGGGTTTAGGGTTTAGGGTTGAGGGTCTAGGGTTTAGGGCTGAGGGTGGTAGCTATAAGTGGGGTTATAGGCCCCTTCATATGGGTTATAATTAAGTATAGTTACCCTACTTATAACCCTGTTTATAACTACCCATGAACCCCCCAAGTAGGTTCCCCACTAATGCCCTTTTGCCCTTTTTCTGTTTGGGTTTCCTCATTAAAACTGAATAGTAGGAACAAGGGTACCCTTCTTATCAAAACCCTACTGGGGAACCTAGTGAACCTAGGGTTAAGGGGATTTCCGGTCAAGGCGGTTTAGGATTTAAGGGGTTTAGGATTTGGGGGGTTTAGGGTTTGGGGGGTTTAGGATTTAGAGGGTTTAGGATTTAATTTAGGGGGTTTAGGGTAGATTTTCGGGCTACCTGCCAGGCCACCACAATCGAAAGTACTCAAAACCATCAACTGGCGTACGACTACACCCACTCAGAAACAACCATGAACTTTGAAGTAAACCTTAAACTCCCCAAAGTGGCAAACCCTGAGCCATAAAACCCTAAACCTCCATAAGTTTGGAGCCTTCAAGCAGTAAAGATATGAGTCCTTCGGTCGTTTGGGAGTTGCCATAACATAGAAGCCTAAATAATTACCTGTACTATTTTGGGGGTTCCTCACTATAATTATACCCCCCCCCCCAAACCCTATTCTAATTATAAGGCCCCTTAACCTTAAGCCCTTATAGTAGCCCCTTTCAGGAACCCTTTAAGGAGCCCTTTAAAGGAACCCTATCAAATTATGGCCCCTACCAAAAACCCCAAAGCTTTGGAGCCTCAGAAAATTGCATTGGCAGCCCTCTGCCCCGACGCCCCCCTAAATCCCCCAAAAAAGACGGTTGAGGGTTTAGGGTGTGGATTTTAGGGTTTAGGGTCTATAGGGTCTATAGGGTCTATAGGGTCTATAGGGTTTAGGGTTTATAGGGTTTAGGATATACCTATAGTCTCCATTGTAGTTCCTTTTTGGGGATACCTTATAAAATCGTTAATATATATTTGGTTAAACCAAAAAAGGAACTACAATGGAGACTAGACTAGGGTTGTTGGGGGTTCCTTTAAAAGGGGCCCTTAAAAGGGTATACTATAGGGTTCTGCAAGGGTTTATAGGGTTTAGGGTTTATAGGGTTTAGGGTTTAGGGTCCCTGAGCTTTCAGGACCCTAAACCCTAAACCCTAAACCCTAAACCCTAGCGTTTATAGGGTTTCTAGGGCTTATAGGGTTTATAATTAGGGTTTAGGATTCCTGAGCTTTCCTTATTTATCATAAGTATAGTATAATGGACCCCTTATAGAACCCTCTAAGGATCCCTTTATTAAAGGAACCCTATTCTAATTATGAAGGCCCCCTAAACCCTAAACCCTAAACCCTAAACCCTAAACCCTAAACCCTAAGCCCCTATATTATACGTGACTCCATAATGGGTTTTACATGGCACACCCCGAGCCTTTCT